ATGTCTTGAGACACCCAGGGATCATAACCCTAACACATAGTCTGTTAAAAAAAGTTTCACACAGTACTGCTACAATAGATACATCAAAAGAAGCTAAAGCTGTCAGAGCTGTTGACAAAGGGAGCCTTAGAAAAGTATATTGAAAGGCTATAAGTGAGTTGTACGCTGATGTGGAGAAAAGGGGAGAGTTTATAGCCGGCTTAGACATAAAAACCAAAAAACTTTGTGAGAGAGACAAGTACACTATGTATTAATAGTGAAGAGATAACTATTATATGAGTACTTTGAGAGATGGGCTATGAAAATATATATAACCAGCAGCAGCAGATTGAACTATTAGCCTTGCTTTTAATCGTGTTGTAGTTGCAGCATCATAGAGTCCCAGCACAGGGGCGGCTGGGCAGCACCGCCCACCATCCTGCAATCATTCGAAGCATCGGGATATGCGAATGTGTGATTTGGCAAAAGAATATGCAGTGTAAAATCACACATCTTCTTCTTTGTCGTCCCTGCTGCGTTCATCGGACTGACGGAGTCTTTGGAGCTAGCGTCATGGCAGAAGGGGCTATCAGCGAGAGATTCAGGCCTTGCTTGGATGTAGTCAGATTCACATCAATCCACATATGTTTGGACAGATTGGTGTGGAATTTGAACTAAATTCTACTCCAACACATATGGATTGAGGTGAATCCGCCAACATCCAAACAAAGCCTCAAGGGGGAGGGATCCACAGGAAAACAAGATACGTCGAGTGTTATAACTTTTTACTAGAAAGCAACCAATAAAAAGTTTATCGGATATGTATTTATAGAGAAAAGTCGATTTACAATGATGAAAAACAATAAAAACAGATGCCATTACAAAAATTGCCCCATTGAGATCGAAAACAAAACAACCATCACAACAACACACAACCTGAGTCACCACTACAATGGGAGATAATGCCAATCCTATAGCATCACATCTTGCCATATCGACTCCTTTGTCGTGTTAGCAACACGAAGTGGAAAAAGCTCAATGAGGAAGAGGAAGAGGTTTCGATAGAATGACGAATTATTTTGGTTGTACAGATGAGATAATCGTCTCCATAGGTGTACCATGTTTCTATACTTCACACACACACAACATGTCAGCCATGTCCATCCGGGGCAACCACGTGCTCGTTGGGCTTTCAGCTCCGTTTGAGTACTTTGGTGTTTTTCGCCACCTCTACACCATCCCGTACTTAGTCATCATGTGTAACATACCAGTCTTCATGTCTGATTAGAGTCGTCTGCTCGCCGTCGACTCCTCCTCCACCTCCTCCTAGCCCTGGATGCTGCCATTATAGCCCTTTGCGAACACTGTGGTCCCTCTCCTTCTCGTGCAACGGACTCGCCGATGGTAAGGAGTGGGAGTCACCCTCTGTTGTTGAAGTCTAATAGTTTCTTAGGGTTTAGATTAGATTGAATAAAGCTTATTCTATGAGCTGCCTGCTAGCACCATCTTCGTCAATTGCTCGCCATATCTTATTTATCATAGAGATCTATAGTGCGGGTGCCGCTCTAGGGATCCAATCCAGAGGTCTTCATGTTCCTTCTATTTTTGCAGGGTCCATGTGACATGGGGGCTGGTAATCAACTAATCGAGTTCCCCATTTGCATCTATATGTGCTACCGGCTTGCTCGATTTTGATCTTCCAACGGCTGGACAAGTATCTTGGCTTCTAGATCTAGCTGTGATGGTACTGGTGGTGCTAGCTTGATCATAGTCGACGACGAGGCAATCGATGTTCTCTTGAACGTGTCAGATGTGTCCTAAGAAGGATGTTGGATCATACGATGTTTCCAAGTTTTGGTGTCTGTCACGAAGGATGGTTGGAGGGTTATGCTCCTTTGGCTATTGCCATCGTTATTGATTTCCTACATGTTCGAATTCGATAGTCAACGTAGTTTAGAGGTGAAGATTGTTTTTTAGGGGGCACTGGATATACATACCCTTTACGTTCAAAGGGTTGCATGTAAACAAAAATGTAATTGTGCTATTAATAGAATTCATTTCCCTTCGGGGAGAAAAAAAGATGCCAATGTGGCCCAAAGAGCATAATCTAGTGACCTAGTCTTAGAAGTCTGCACACTGTACCGTTTGCTGATCCTGGGTGTGAAACGAACATGGACTCAAGTGGAATAGAAAGCTCTTGCATAGTTGTTTCAAGAGAGATAAAGATAAAAGGTATAACTTATCAAAAGCGACTTTTCGACTTTTTATCGACCCACAACAGCTTTTCCACACACCATTACCTGATGGTAGAATCTATAGTATTTTTCTGGGTCTCGAACATGGACTCAAGATGACGCTGCCTGTTCGCTTGAACTTATCAGCCGGCTTATCAGGTAGAATCTATAGTATTTTTCTCTCACAACAAAACAGCTTCAGCCGGCTTTAATACCAGCCGAACAGGCCTTGATGCAGTACTTCTTGTCACATTCAGTTACCAGTTTCCACGGGACGATAGCCGGAAATGTTTGTTGACATTTATCGCGCGCTCATCCATCCCCATACCTCGAAAGACGAAAACAGAAATCTGTTGCGTTGCATCCCCAGACGCCATGACTATCGCTGTCGTTATGCAGCCTGTTCGCTTGCTCATATCTGGCTTATCAGCCAACTAACAGTATTTTTCTCTCACACCAAACCAGCCAACAGTACTTTCAGCCATGGCTTATAAGCCAAACCAGCCCAAACGAATAGGGCGATGGTTTGTTGCGCCCATCACTCGTCCATCGTCACCCTCTCAACATCGCCTGAAAACCAAGAGTTCAGAGACCACCAGACACGCACGCATGCGCATGGCGTTTCCCGCGGCCAGTCATCATCCTTTCCGCACATCCGCCGCCTGCGCTAGCAGTACTGTACAGGCGAAGCATTCACCGTCCCAAAACCTCCAACGTCCCGCAAGCGTCTTGCCTAAGACTGTCTCCAATGGCTCGTGCATCACGGCATGCAAACCCAAAATGCCTACTCTAGGTTGCTTTGTCGGTAGAAAACGCTGTCCAACAGACGATGCAAATGAGGAACCTATTTTGGGTGGGACGCGATGCACGACCCGAATAAGCGTCGCCTCTCTCCTTGAACCCAAATCTCTGGCGCCGTGGAGAAGGGCCACTCACCTGAGATGTGACGGGTGCCGGAACGTGGTGGCCGTGCGCTCGGGTCGACGCCGCCACCATGGGGGCCATCTACGCGGACGTCGAGGTCGGATCCGCCGGGAAAGGGGCACCACTGCGCCCAATTGACCAGGTCCGCCCGCAACTGACCGGAAGGGGAGAGGGCGCCACCACCGGTGGAGGAGGAGCAACCACGACCGCACGCCGCAGGTGGGGCAGGAGGATGCGCGTCACCGGTGGGGAGAGGACGCCGCCGCGCGTGGGGGCCATCTGCGCGGACGTCGAGGTCGGATCTACCGGGAAAGGGGCGCCGCCACGCCCAATCGATCGGATCCGCCCGCAACTAACCGGAAGGGGAGAGGGTGCCACCACGGGTGGAGGAGGAGCAGCCACGCCTGCGCGCCGCAGGTGGGGTAGGAGTATGCGCGCCGCCGGTGGGGAGAGGACGCGCGCCATGGGGCTAGGCGTCGATGCGAGGCCCTCTTCTTTTGGGTTTGCTGTCGGAGATGGGAGGGTTTGGATGCGTGACTCTTTTGTGTTGCGTGACCCAGATGATGAAATGGGTCTCTTATTTAGGTTTCAGCTGTTGGAGATAGTCTAAAAGGCGGCCGAGCGCAGGTACTTGGAATCACTGGGGTGGGGAGTCCTGCAGTTCAGCGGGTTAAACTGCGAGTAATGGAACAGCATTACAGCAGCGTCACCTGCGTCGCTTTTCGGCTAGTGAATGGCGGCATCAGTACAGTGCGATGGACCGTATCCGTGTGTACGTAGCTTTCAGTAGCAGTGAAACGCCAGCATCCATTGACGGGGGCGTCGTTAGCTTCGCTGAAAAAACGAGAAATGTTCCCGCTTATTTATTAAGATAGAAAAACATTGTTCTAATTAAAAAATAAGCTGAAAAGAATTATAAGAGAAGGGCCCTAAACAGATAGCAAGTGCGTGGCCCCGTCCCCAGTCACAGGCACCAATGGCGCCTTAAATGCCATGCTGGATCTGGGTTCTAGAACCGGCGGGCGGGCCGGGCGGACGGAGGACGAGCGAGCCACCGCGGCGACACCGCACGAGCACGGCGGAGCCGGAACGCTCCAAAATCAACCTACCGAGTACCGATCCACCCGGGGTACCGTACCGTACCGTGCCAGCAGTGGCGCAAAGCCTCCGCCACGGATCGCTCGCCTCGTCCCGTGACGCCGTACGTCCGTGGAGGAGCGCGCGGTGGACAAAAACGCCGTGGCCGTTGCGCATGAGCTTGGACCAGCAGGAGTTAGTTAGCTCCGCGCCGGTTACTGCGTGAGCTTTTTTTTGTTCGGTTACTGCGTGAGCTGAGTCGGTTGGGCTCGACGACAAGGGAAACACATCGACAGCTCCATGCACTCACTCGCTCGAGGCTCGAGGCTCGAGCAATAACCGTCCGATGGTTACGGATTGCTAGTGGCCAGTAGTGGCCAGTGCAGTGCGGCCGCCACCCCACTATTGGAACGCCCAACGGCGACGGGCGGGCGCGTGCGTGCTCCTCCGGGCCGGCGCACGCATTGACCAAACAAAACCGTCGCGCCAGTGTGAGGCGCACACATGACACGTCGGGCCACGCCGGGCATTGTCACGCACGCCACCGGTCGCGTCCCGCGGAAGCCCTCCGCACCACCACCACCAGGCAGCACCCCGTGGCAGCCCGGCCCCACGTTCGTGCCGGCCGCACCGAACCGAACCGAACCAGTGGTTCTCCGTGCATATAAACAAGCGAGCCCCGGGTGGCATTTGGACGCGCAGGCAGGCACATCCGCGGCGCGCAGCACAACAGTGCGCGGTCACTCACTCGTCGCTGCCACCGCGCCCACACACATCGTCGTGGCCATGGCTTCCCCTGTCCTCCTCGTCGCCGCGGCGCTCTGCCTCTGCGCGTTGTTGTTCGGAGCAGGGGAGGCGGCGGTGAGGGGAGCAGCAGCGGTGGTGGAAGCGTCGGCATTCCGCAGCAGGGCGACGGCCCCCAACATGGAGGTGAAGTTCGACTTCTCGCCGTTCCTGATCCAGTACAAGAGCGGCCGCGTGCAGCGGTTCATGGGCACGACGTTCATCCCGGCGTCCATGGACTCGCGCACCGGGGTGGCCTCCAGGGACGTCGTCGTGGACAACCGGACCGGCCTCGCGGTGCGTCTGTACCGGCCGAGCCGCCGCGCCGTGGCCACCGGCGGCGGCAGGCTCCCCGTGCTGGTGTACTTCCACGGCGGCGCGTTCGTGGTGGAGTCGGCGTTCGACCCCGTGTACCACAACTACCTGAACGCGCTGACAGCCAAGGCCGGAGTCATCGCGGTGTCGGTGAACTACCGCCTGGCACCGGAGCACCCGCTCCCGGCGGCGTACGACGACTCGTGGACGGCGCTGGCGTGGGTGCTCGAGAACGCGCGGCGCGGAGGCGGGGACCCGTGGCTCGCCAAGCACGGCGACGCCTCCCGCCTGTTCCTCGCCGGTGACAGCGCCGGCGGCAACATCGCGCACAACCTGGCAATGCGCGCGGGCCAGCAGCAGCAGCAGGCCGGCGCCGCCGCCGCGAGGATCAACATCAAGGGCGTGGCGCTGCTGGACCCGTACTTCCTGGGCCGGTACGTGAGCGGGGGCGCGCAGCGCACGTGGGACTTCATCTGCGCGGGGCGGTACGGGATGGACCACCCGTACGTGGACCCGATGGCGGCGCTGCCGGCGGAGGTGTGGCGGCGGCTCCCGTCCGCGAGGGTGCTGATGACGGTGTCGGACCAGGACCGGCTCGGCCCTTTCCAGCGCGCGTACGTGGACGCGCTCCGGGCTAGCGGCTGGGGCGGCCAGGCGCGCCTCTACGTCACGCCCGGCGAGGGCCACTGCTACTTCCTCAACAACCTGGACTCGCCCAAGGCCGCCATGCATATGGCCACGCTCGCCGCGTTCATCAACGGCAGCTAATAGCGAGCTCACCAGGGCTCTCTTGTCGGCAGCCAGCGTGGCAGTGCTACTCCGAATCTCCGATACACGTACGATCAGCCCTGTATGTAGCTATAGTCGTCGCCACTGGTGAGTGGTGACATCTGTAACGACCATCATACCGTATACTGTATTTTGCCAGCGGCCGAGTGACCAGAGAGATGTCCTTTTTTACCTTCTTTGTGACCGCAGTCACATGTAACTTCCAAAAGTTTATTACTGCGGCCGGGTAATGTATACGTCGGTTTCACTGGAGCTTGGAAACGGAAAGGTGCTCCATTAGTGGACAGGGAGGCTACTGTTGGCTGGCTCGTGCTGCACTGCATCTAAGAGTTGCTCGAACCAGTAGAGGCAGTGGTACACCTCGCGCGGCGGGGGGCGATCACTCCGGTGACGGAATAGCCAGCCGCACCGACCAGCGCTTGAAGTGTGCTGTGTCCCTATCGGCCGCGCCTTTTGGCTTTGGCGTGATCTCCCGGCCGATCGAGCCACTGATGGAGGAGAGAGCTCGGCTCCGGCTCGGCAGCAGCAATCAGGTCGTTTTGAGCTCGTCAGCAGACAAGTTTATGGGAGGCTGCTATTCTAGGACTGGGTAGTGCGGTCTATAGTAGACTTTGGGCCTGGGTCGCCTAAAGCTGGGCGCGTCGAGAAGAGGCATGGATTATGGACCATCAAATGTGTGTGTCACGGATTGCATTTCGGATAGACTATGCTACTACTCACCAAGTAGCGGCTGGGGGAGAAATTTACGGGCAGGCATGCTGTAGGATCATGATCCATTTTCTGCATTAAAGGTGCTGGCTTTTAATCGGATGGCACGCACTTGTAGGGTATTCATACAGCTTTGAACCGAGGTCACCGCACTCGATCAAGCTCTCCAAGTGCTGCCCTGGTTTGTGGACGTCGCGCTCGCTCTAGTGACCACTTTACTGCTGCTGCCACCATGGATGCTCGCCCCGTTGACAATCCACACTATGGCTATAGTGGCTCTGACTCCTGATCTTGTTTATCGTGTATTACTGATGGAAAACATGGACTGGAACTGTAGAGGCAGAAGCTGTTGTGACGTGAACTGTAGAAAACGGACGTCATCGCCGGAGAAGTCGATGCCACCATGGGAGGCACCTCTCAGAAGAGACGAGGCCTCAACGGGGGTACGCTCTTGTGGGCATCACCTCGACCCCCACCTTCTTGGCAATGCACTGTCCTCTAGCTCGTGAAGCTCGTGATATTCTGGATGCTTCCAAATGTGACGTTCTTTTCCGTGAATTTGGTATTGTGTTGATGTGCTGCCTGATTGGTTGATGATTGCGTATCGAATCCGAAGCTGGTGAGACAGTTGCCACAGCCCGTGCCAGTGCCACACGCTGGACCAGCGGATGATTTTTACTGCCAAAAAGAGAGGGCTCTCCTGCTCTGCTCGTCTCGTACAGCTGCGCAGCTAAGCTCGCGCTCTTGCTGCCGTTGACTCCACCACGTCTCCCGCCCCCCGCGCCTTCCATGGATCCGGACGCCGAGGTCGGCTTCGACTTCTCGCCGTTCCTCATCCGCTACAAGAGCGGCCGCGTGCGCCGTCTCATGGCCGATGGATGAAAGCAGTGCGCGACCGTCCGATTCGACCGAAACAAATATGACAACATATCCGGATAGTTACTTCCGGATATCCCACGGATACTAAGCGGATATCTTAGGCGGATATCAATCACGGATGTAATATCATCGATATCCGGCGGATATCGGATAATCCGGATAAGTATCGGATATATCCGGATATTTAAAAACGGATATTATCCGGATATTTATTCAAAATTTAAAAATCACAAATTTGAACCATCCAAACCATCTCAAATGGAAAGTTGACCAAAACAACAATTGTAGATCTTGATGAGTTGAACAAACTTGATATTCAAAACTTTTCAATTTGAAGTCATTTAAAGTTCATAATACTAGAGTCAAAGTGTTGTTTTTTCATTTGACCAAATTTGACTTGGTCAAACTTGCTCAAATGAGACACTAAATGACCTCAGATGAAAAAACTCTGAATACCAAGTTTGATCATCTCAGCAAGATCTACAATTGTTACATAGCTTATTTTCCCATTTGAGAAAGTTTTATCAAACACTAGTCATAAATTCTTGAATCTCATATAGACTTTCTGAAACTATGTCACACACTTGTGAAATTTGAACTACATTTTGTTCAAACTTTCTCAAATGAAAAAATAGCCTATATAAGGATTGTAGATCTTGATGAGCTGAACAAACTTGGTATTCAAAACTTTTCAATTTGAGACAATCTAGGGTTCCGAAAACTAGTTTGTAAGCATCGAAATTTAAAAATCACAAATTTGAACCGTCCAAACTATCTCAAATGGAAAGTTGACCAAAATAAGAATTGTAGATCTTGATGAGTTGAACAAACTTTGTATTCAAAACTTTTCAATTTGAAGTCATTTAAAGTTCATAATAATAGAGTCAAAGTGTTGTTTTTTCATTTGACCAAATTTGACTTGGTCAAACTTACTCAAATGAGACACTAAATGACCTCAGATGAAAAAACTCTGAATACCAAGTTTGATCAAAGTGTTATTTTTTCATTTGACCAATTTTGACTTGGTCAAACTTGCTCAAATGAGACACTAAATGACCTCAGATGAAAAAACTCTGAATATCAAGTTTGATCATCTCAGCAAGATATACAATTGTTACATAGCTCATTTTCCCATTTGAGAAAGTTTTATCAAACACTAGTCACAAATTCTTGAATCTCATACAGACTTTCTGAAACTATGTCACACACTTGTGAAATTTAAACTACATTTTGTTCAAACTTTCTCAAATGAAAAAATAGCCTATATAAGGATTGTAGATCTTGATGAGCTGAACAAACTTGGTATTCAAAACTTTTCAATTTGAGACAATCTAGGGTTCCGAAAACTAGTTTGTAAGCATCGAAATTTAAAAATCACAAATTTGAACTGTCCAAACTATCTCAAATGGAAAGTTGACCAAAACAAGAATTGTAGATCTTGATGAGTTGAACAAACTTTGTATTCAAAACTTTTCAATTTGAAGTCATTTAAAGTTCATAATACTAGAGTCAAAGTGTTGTTTTTTCATTTGACCAAATTTGACTTGGTCAAACTTGCTCAAATGAGACACTAAATGACCTCAGATGAAAAAACTCTGAATACCAAGTTTGATCAAAGTGTTGTTTTTTCATTTGACCAAATTTGACTTGGTCAAACTTGCTCAAATGAGACACTAAATGACCTCAGATGAAAAAACTCTGAATACCAAGTTTGATCATCTCAGCAAGATATACAATTGTTACATAGCTCATTTTCCCATTTGAGAAAGTTTTATCAAACACTAGTCACAAATTCTTAAATCTCATACAGACTTTCTAAAACTATGTCACACACTTGTGAAATTTGAACTACATTTTGTTCAAACTTTCTCAAAATGAAAAAAATGGCCTATATAAGGATTGTAGATCTTGAATCCATGACCATGACTCCATGAGACCCATGAAGCAATGTGCTTGGCTATTTCTACTCATCATGCATGAAGATTGATGCTTATATGATGTTTGATGTATGATGTATCTGTATCTTTATCTTATTTGTTGCTTTACTCTTTAGTCTTTTCGGCTTAATCTAGATGGATTATGGACTCATAGAAAACATATGATATATATATATATGCTGCTTTTACTCAATATCCGAATAGATATTTGTATCCGACTTTCTACGAATCCGATTCATACCGTATTCGATACTCATTATTCGTATCCGTAACCGAGTCAATCCGTATTCGTATATGTATCCGAATGCTATCCATGTCCGAATCCAAATCCGAACAGAAATATGAAAACAAATATAATATAAGTGATATCCGTTCGTATCCGATCCGTTTTCATCCCTAACTCATGGGCACGGCCAGGGGCGACGCCGGCTCGGAGCTGTTGCCGGTTGATCCCAGCCGTTGGACCTGGATCTGACGGCATCCGACCTCGGAGACCGGGTGGCGTCGGCTGGCCTGTCTCTGTCTGTACGAGCCCACACTGCCTGTACTGGATGAGAGTACTAGTACGTCATGTAGTACAGTAACAGTGACCGTCAAAGCCATCGTTTCTCTCGCTCACTTCAGTTTTACTGTAGAATTAGTAAGCTGCGTCAAAAAACCCGCGTGCGCGGCGCGGGGAGTCCAAACTCCAAGCAGTGGATCGACCGAGGGCCTGTTCGCTTGCCAGCTTATAAGCTTCGCAGCTTCAGCTAGAATCGGCTTTAATACCTACTGAATAGGACCCGAGACAGCGACGGAGCCAGACGCCCGAAACCTGCTCGGCCCGACTCCGGTGGTGTTTGATCCAGTGACTAAAATTTAGAAGTTATGTTAGGAGAATGTTGCATAGGGTGTTCGGATACTAATAAAAAATGAATTACATAATCCGTTAGTATTTCACAAGACGATTTTTTTAAGCCTAATTAATCCGTCATTAGTATATGTTTACTGTATCACCACATTATCAAATCATAGACTAATTAGACTTAAAAGATTTGCCTCGCAAATTAGTCGCAAACTATATAATTAGTTTCATAATTAGTCTATATTTAACACTCCGTGCTAAAATTTAAAATTTAGAAGCGACGAGCAAACACAACCTCCATCCATCGCATTCTCCCTCGCCTCGCGTGTCAAATCGGCGCGGGTGTGGTGGGGGTATTTTTTATTTTAATATTTTTTAAACTATTGTGGCGGGGAGCTGTTGCCGTCGGAGGGCACGGACCCCAGGTTCCTGCAGAGGGCTCCGGTCATGGGGCTTCGTGAGTAGTGGACGGTACGGGATCGACCACCCGTTCATCAATCCTCTGGCTTCGCCGACGGAGGAGTGGGCGAAGCTCGGCTGCCGGCGTGCTCTGGTGACCGTGGCAGAGCTCGACACGTTGAGGGGCAGAGGCCGGCGGTACGTCGACGCGCTGAGGGGAAGCGCGTGGGCAGGGGAGGAGGCTGTGCTGTACGAGACCCAAGGCGAGAGGGGCACGTCTACTTCATCGACAAAGCCGGAGGCGACGGCGAGAAGGCGAAGATGGAGATGGCGGCCGTCGTGTCGTTCATCCAGCAGAGCAGCTAGGTATAGGATCCATCCGTGTCGTTCATCAAACCAAGGCTTTTGTGGGATGCAATGCAATACTCTACTTTGCTTGGGTTATGTATTTCCATTTCTCCAAAGTGTTGTGCAGAGCAAATAATGATTCCATGCCCAATTGGAATGTTACGAGAGTTCCCCACGGTTGAGTCATGTTGTTCGTTGTCTCTTTATCGAAAGATGCAGGTAGTGCACGCGAGTGCAGTGGTTATATGATTTTCCATTTGAGAAATGGGGTCAGATGACGACGACGAAACGGGTCGGTGATCAAATCGGCAACAACCATGGTATTGACACTACTGATGTGGTGTGACGGTGAACCATCGGTCGACAGCTACTCACTCCGTCCCTAAAAATAAGCATACATCTCCTTTATGACAAATCAATTTTTTAAGTTGGATATGTCTAGCCATTAACTGGTTGATTTAGCCCCTCTCATCAACTGAATTTTTTATGCACTTATACCACCTTGTAGCTATATTTACACCGTCTTATTACTATATTTACAATAATTTATTCAATGTAATTTATTAGACAGAGTAGTGTAATTTAGGGATAACACAAGGCCTTAGACAAATATATGCCAAATTTTCAAAAAAAATTACAAACTTTTTCTATGAATTCCAAATACTAGAGAAATATATATCAAATTATTCATAAACTTATAAATTTACAAATGAAATAACAGAAGCAGAGAACAGAACTGGTAGCTCAAACCCCATTGCCCATGCAGTTTAAGTAGTACGTCTAGAGACGACGATGAGTCACGCTGGAGTTACGTGCAGTACGGAGACCATTTTTTTTCACCGTCATTTCATACGTACTCCGTAATTGTAGCTCGTCTCTACCTAGCTTGCTTTTGTTTACCTTGACATGACATGCCTAGCTAGCTCTACTGCCTGCTCGAAGGCACGCACGAGAGAGGCTCTGACGGTGTAGCTGTCCCGAGCTCTCTCTCTCTCTCTCTCTCTCTCTCTCTCTCTCTCTCTCTCTCTCTCTCTCTCTCTCTCTCTCTCTCTCTCTCTCTCGGGTCTCGGTCTCGGCCAGTTGGAGGAGGACACAGGACAGAGGCAAAGATACGCTAGGAGGTACTGATCCACTGCGCGGCTGGACACTGTTTCTGGCTATATAGCGTCCAAGGAAAATCGGTTGATGGGAAGGCCTAAATCAACCGGTTGATAGGTAACCTTTCTATTTAAGTTTGATCAAATATATATGAAAATATACTAACATTTATGATGTATAACAAGTAGCATTAGATTGAGCATGGAGTATACTTTTATAATAAACTTATTTAGGAATACAAATTTTGATACTGTTTTCGATATTTCTAGTCAAATTTGAAAAAGTTAACTCTCGAGAAGTGAGATATACATTTATTTTTGGGACGGAAGGCCTAGGGAGTACTACATGCGTATAGACACCCAAGAATCTGTGTGATACCAGAAATACTAAAAATTAGGACTATGGTCTTGTTCGCTTCTCTTATAATCCGTCTTTTTCAACTTGTTTTTTCAGCCGGAACAGTATTTTCCTCTCACAACAAATCAATCGGAACAGTATTTCGGTTTGTTTTTTCAATGAAGCAAACGGGGCCTATGTTATCCAAAGAGGAAAACAGTGAGCCCAGCCCCTGGCACACAGCCCTCCCTCCCTCTTCTCGCTTTACTCTTCCACCGTAGTGTGCCGCCGGAGCCCCGTGCGGCCATGATGACGACAGTAGTGGGGCAACAACCGCTCCTGTTGGTTGCTTCCCTCCCTATCGCGTTGGGCCAGATCCACGACGGGGGAGAAGCGAATCCGGTGTGCTGTAGTCCGCAACCGTTGTTTTTCTTGCGTTTTTCCTCGTGTGGGGTTCTGGCCAGTGGTTCGTCATTGAGCTAACGGTGGGCATGGTCACAGTCTGCGTTCGTCCACAGGCCTGCTGGTGGGTGTAGTCATAGCTTTCCCTCTTTGTTGGAGGCGACCCGGAGATCGAGACCTGCGGTGGAGGAAGGTTGCAAGGGTGGTGCGTGGTGGTTGCCGGTGACTCAGTCGGATCTTGCAGGGCTGGTGCGTGGTGGTCGCCGGTGACTCAATCGGATCTAGCTCCGCTACAGGCAGGTCTGGCGTTTTCTCGCCTAGATCTAGCACCCCTATGTTCGGAGCTTGCCATTGATAGTCACGATGGAGGCCACAAGGGCTGTCTTGATTGCCATTAAGTGCAAATTTTGACCATCAACCATTGGTGAATAAACAAGAATAAAAGGGGTACAAACATGGTTTCATGCATGGTGCAGAGGCAAGGCTGCGGGAGCACCGGATGCTGGTGTAGCTACTTTGTATTTGGAGAAGCGCTCGTAGTCATGCCTTGAGAATGTAGGCAAATGGCTGAACCTCGTTAAAAATATTGTGCCTCTTTATTGTTGCCACTTGTCTATTTTCTTCTATATTTTTTTATGTTTTCGCGTTCTTTAATTAATAGATCCGTTAGGGTCTAACAAGTGGTATCAGATCTCATGATCGGAAAACCTAAAAGCTTAGGGGTCACGTGATCACGAGAGAGCCCGTGAATGTTGGACCATGACGCCTAAGTGAGGGAGTGTGAATTACGTCAATTAAAACTAAGGCCCAAAACCAACTTATAAAAACCTACATTAGTTCTATCTAGATGTGCACTAGGTTTTTCTTAGTGTTGCTATCTCTAATGTAAAAATAAGTTTTGCACCCTAAGTTCAATACCTCTCAACTAACCTAGCAAGCTAGACTAGGAAGGTGAAACTCACACTAAAGTAAATTTGAAAACATAAATGACATATAGAACACAAACTCTAGCATGACGATGTTTTTCACGAGGTATCAGAAAGCTCACACTTTTCATTGGTCCTCATTATATTGGAGCCTCTCGCATAGATGCCCTAATCATCACTTAAGCGCATATGATGACTAGAGCACAAATAAATGAGACTTAACTCAACTATAGCTTCCTCAAGCTCCAACTCTCTCCAAATGGTTGCCCAAGGAGGTATATATAGCTCGCAAGCACAAACTAGGCCTTGGGAGCTTAGGCTGCAAAAGCCAAACACACCAGATAGTAGCTCCGGTGACCCGGAGAAATCTAGTTCCCTCTGCGCACCAACTAGCCATTTTTGACCATCATGCCGGTGCATTCTCAGCTACACCCACTGCCACTGGAGAAATCTGGTGCACTTTTATGCCTTTCACATGCAACATCTAAGCTCTAGTTCATGCATCGAAAAGAGATCTGGTGCTCTCTTCAGCTTCATCCACCGTGCCACTATTGTAAATCTCTTTTGGTCACTCTTGTAGTCTAGTAACCACACTGAATTATGTTGTGGCTGCTTCTTGGACTGTTCCCACCAGGGAACTCCGGTGACACCACCGGAGAGCTCCCGTGCACAACGAAAGCTTGGGCGCACCTCTCCGCTCATCTGAGTGCATTTCTTTGTGTCTAATTTTCTAGGCTTCACTTATAGGATGTCTTCAGTTTTTTGCATGTCTTCTAGGGTATGCAATGCTCTCTTTAATCTTCATTTGTGGTGTCGAGTACTCGATCTTCACCGTAGCCTACCTCAAGTACATCTCTTGTATCCATAAGGTTAATTACCTTGCATACTAGTAAACATAGTTAAACCTAATGGCTATGTTGTTAGTCAACCACCAAAATCACTAAACTCTTGTCCATGTTTCTTACATCAAGTATTTCTTTTACAATGGTATATTCATGCAGTATGCTATGTTTGCTGAGGTGAAATGCACTATTTTTATTACATGTAAACAAATCGTCCATGTTCAAGCAGGCAATTCACTGTTCAATCAGGGACTAAACTTGTAGATAATCAATGCTTGCTTGCTTAATGAATTTTCTCTGTTCCCTCTTTCAAATTTGGTTGAGTTAACCACCGGTTTTCTGGTTTTGCATAAATTTCTATTGCATGTGAATTAACATAAATCCATGCTATTTATTAGTATATATTTTCTTGCAATTTGAAGCAAACTTGCTTTTCTGAGTTGCTAAATATTTGCTCCAACTAAACAAATTTGATCACCACATGTACGTGTGAGTTTTTGTTGACGAGGACTAAGAAATTATTATTGACATAGATTAGAGATGAACTTTTATATAGATGCACGGTAGATGTAGGTTTGATGAATACCACATGGCCTCCAACTTTTTGGCTAGAGCCCTAAATGGCCCCGAGTTTATCAAAGCATACTAATTTCCAATCTCAACATGTAAACTATCCACGGCATTCTCCACAAAATATCATACTACTATTCTCCTCACTAGCTTACCATCTAAACCTGCAAACTATTCACGTCATCCGTGACTAAATGCCACATTGTTTTTCACTAACTTTCAATCTCTTCACATACAAGATGCAGAAACTATATTTAAGAAAAACTCCCCATAGCAATGGGGGAATCCTTCTAGTTCATCCAATCCTGTAATCACGAGGATTTGAGGATCTAAAGCTTAGCATCACAACCCAAAGAGGGCACGGATGGACCTAATAGAGCTTGGGCGTTTGACGACGCCATGAAGGACGCAATGGCTGCTATCATCTGCTTCGTCTTGCCGCTACCGTCGGATCTACTGAGGAAGAAGACGTGCCTCTCGCCTTGATCCTCGTACAGCACGGCCTCGTCCCCTGCCCACGCGCTGGCCCTCAGCGCCTCCACGTACCTCCGGCCTCTGTCCCGCATCCTGTCCAGCTCGGCCACGGTCACCATGGCACGCCGGCAGCCGAGCGACACCCACTCCGTTGCTGGCATCGCCAGCGGATTGATGAACGGGTGGTCGATCCCGTGTCTCCCCGCGCACACGAACGCCCACCACCGCTCCTCCGTCTCCAACGACCGGCGGGGCTCCGCGCCCTCGGACGGCACGAGCTCCTTGCCGCAGAAGTACGGGTGCAGGAGCACCATCCCTTCGATCCGCGTGCCGCCGGGCAGACCGCTCCTGCCTGCCCTCATCGCCACGTTGTGCGCGATGTTGCCACCGGTGCTGTCGCCCGCGACGAAGAGGCGCGCGGGGTCGCCGTGCTCGGCCAGCCACGGCTCCTGCCCGGACGACGCGCGGGCGCAGCTGGCGGTCGCCACGGCCCAGCCGAGCGCGGCCCAGGCGTCGTCGTAGGCGGCGGGCAGCGGGTGCTCGGGCGCGAGGCGGAAGTCGACGGACACGGCCACGGCGCGGGCCGCTGACACGAGCGCGTTCAGGAAGCGGAAGTACTGCGTGGAGAAGGCCGAGTTCACGGCAAAGGCGCCGCCGTGGAAGTAGACGAGGGGGGCAGCTTCGTGGATGTACCGAGGACGTCGCTGGGAATGTGGAGACGCGCGGCGAGGCCGGTGCCGACGTCGATAACAACGTCCCTGGAGGTGACGCCGGTGGCGGCGTCCGTGCCGGCGTCGACCCTGCGCGTGCCCATGAGACGGTGCACGCGGCCGCTCTTGTAGCGGATGAGGTACGGCGACATGTCGTAGTCCACCTCGGTGTCTGGATCCATGGCCAGAGGCCCAGAGCCGGCAAGCCGATCGCCGAGGGGCGCCAAGACTGGACGAGTGTGTGTGACGAAGCAAGCACCATGCCATTTAATCCGTGCCGGTCTTTATTTGTGAGCGTGAGTGTGAACACATGATTGCACGGAGTCTTTACTCCCTCGGTCATAGGTAGTATACGGAGTATAGGAGCAACAGCCGGCTATGATTGCACGAATTCCACGGTGTTTGGTTGGGGAAACTGTAGCGTGATTTGATTACTGATGGTAACAGATCCCTTTACTACTTAGGGTCTCTTTGGCACGGCTTATGCCGGCTTCAGCTTCATCTATTTTACTCAAATCGATGCACTGTAGCGTGAAGTCGTTTTATATGCCGGGGTTAAAATGAACTAGAAGCCGGGAAAAACCAATTTTTCTGGCTTCACCGGTGAAGCCGTTTTGGATGAGCCGTGCCAAAGAGGGCTTTAGTTTGTTTCAGCCTTCGGGTGGAGCCATGCGGGGTGCGGGTGGGATCGTGCGGGGTGCCGCGAGGGGCGTTGGCAGAACTCGACGACGACACTCGCGGCGCCGGACTACGCCGGCGAGGGACGTCAGCATGGGCGCGTCTGCCGACTGCACCGACAGCATCGCTGCTGCAGACCACTCTCCGTCGTGAGATCCACTGGTGTTGGAGCTGTGCGCAAGCATGGGGCCTCAAGCGTGGGTTGACCCCATGTTGGAGAAGATTGCTGCTTCGCTCGTCCTGACAGCAGGAGCACCAGCAACTTGGTGCTCGCCGCCTCCACCGGTCGCCTCTCAGGAAATGGAAGCATTGCTGGTGGACACCCGTTCCCCGATGACGACCACCACGCATGACACACGAGAAGTCTCGGAGGACTCATTGTTGGAGGAGGTTGCAGCCTCGTTCGCGGCCACCAGTGCGTGCACCTACGCCACTTCGACGATGGTCTCCCACCCCGCTCAGTTAGCAATGGACATGGTTCTACCACCACTTGAGCACGGCCAGTCTCAGGTCACGCCACCACGGGCGGCGTAGACCACCACCTCAGGAGCTGACGCGCCTATGTAGGACGAGGTGGGCGGTCCGCCTGGCTTCGGTTCGGTCGAGCCCATGGCGGAGCAGACATGTTTAGTACACCGCCTCGGGAGGACCACACGGTCTACGTCAGCGATAGCTCCGCCGCACACCGCCTCAAAAGCTTCACTAAGCGTGTGCTGAAGAAGGTTGACTCTCCGCTTATTCGTGAGCCTCCCAAGCAGCCTCCTGTTAAGCCGGTGCTGTCATGGCGGAGCAGGCGATTGGCGGCTCAGAACCTCTCTCGAGTACCTGCTTCCAAGTGAGGTGAGGTGCTGATCATGCAGTGTATGGGCTACACCAAGGGTCCATCAGCACCAACTGCTTTAGAGCTGGAGGCTTTTGACAAGATCATCGACGGAAACCTAACTGCGTCCAACGCCGAAGCACTGGATGCGCTCTTCCCGGACGGTGGAAATGGCTCGTCTAGGCAGCCGCGAAGGCACAAGGCCATCTCATAGATCGCACCGCTGCGTCGGTTTTGGTTGTTTTCTATTATGTAATATCGAAACTAGAGGTATTTTGTTAGGATGGTCCAGCTACGACAGTTTTAGGTCAACCTCCTTCAGCGCTCGATAGAAGCGCGTTGTCTTTATGTTTAAACTCTTCTACTTATAATACAATGATACGTAAATCTTTTGCGTATTCAAGAAAAAAGTTTGTTTCAGCCTTCCCGTAATGAAGTCGCACTGTTATCAGATACCGGCCTATAGAAAGCCAATACTGCTCTCTCTCTAGCGTAACCAGATCGCGATTTGTCTTCATCTCCCCTTGATCCCACGTCTTCGCTGGTGGCCTCGACCCTACGGCTCCACCTTTGCCGGTGGAGCACTAGGGAGCAACTCCGCCGATGTGCTGGCGGTTAGCTCGCTGCTCCATGCCTCCATACCATGCCGGCGTTGCCCTATAGGCTACAGTTATGTACTTCCTCGTCCATCCTATTAACAACTGGATATATAACTAGAATCGGAATTGAGAATAGATAGCAAGAACAGGACAGGATTAGACGATTTCAGGGTTCATAGGGTAGAGTGATTAGTATAGGGATCAGGGAGTAGATGATTCAAAATATGCGATAAGCCTCTCCTACATGGTACTTGCGGCTACGATAATGATATATGACGTGCGTCTGGATGGAACGGACGCACCCGCGCCGAACTAACCCGCCGCACGCCGCTCCCGGTCCTTATCCTCTCGACCGCTCACTCCCGAGTCCCGCAGTGCTCATGTGCCCTCTCCACTGCCGCGACCACCTGCTCACTGGGAAATGCCGCGCGCCGCGCGCCACCTCGTTGTCGCGCCCGCCCGCCCGTTGGCGCTCCCTCCCTTCCTCCCTCCCTCCCCCTCCTCGAGCTCCATGCGATTCCACGCTGCCTAGTGACCCAGCTCCCGTGCACCCCACCGGAGATGAGGACGACAGCGGCGGCTCCGACAAGGTAGGTGGTCCTTCTCTAGATCTGAGCCCTCCTCCTCCTCCTCCTCCTCATCTGGATCTGAGCCTTCCTCCTCCTCCTCCTCTGGATCTGAGAGACATGGCACTAGCTAGGGTTTCGTGCGAGCTCTGGGTCCCTATTCCCTCCTCCGCGTTGCAATGGGTGTTTTGGGATGTTGCAACAGATGATTTCAAATGTTGCAATGGGATTTTTTGGTTGTTGCAACAGATGTTTTTGCGATGTTGCAGTACTACTACTTGAGATGTTGCAGTACATAATTTTCAATGTTGCATCACATAATTTTTGATGTTGCAGTACATATTTTTTAAATGTTGCAGTACATGTTTTTTCGATGTTGCATTACATATTTTTCAATGTTGCAGCACATATTTTTTTTATGTTGCAGTACATAATTTTAGTTGATATTTTTCGATGTTGCAGTGCATGTTTTTCAATGTTGCACTATATGTTTTTTTCAATGTTGCAGTTTTTTACAACCCGATGTTGTACTACATAGTTTTTTCATATGTTTTGCAATGTTGCAGTTGAAGTGTTATATGCTCTTTTGGACAGGGGCATGGCGGGGGAACGTGGTGCGTTGGGGAATGGGGGACAGGAGCGCGTTGGGGAGCAGAGGAAGAGCGGGTTCCGTTTTCTATTCTGTTCAGTGCGGGTGGGCGAGCGTGGTTCCATGCGGGGGCGGGGCGGGGTTCTGTGCGGGACCAGCGTACGGACACACGCACGCGCTGGGCGTTCGGGCACTAGAATCACCCGCCTATAGCGCTCCCCCTCCTCCTCCTTTGGATCTGAGCCATCTTCCTCCTCTTCCTCCTTTGGATCTGAGAGACACGGCACTGGCTAGGGTTTCGGCGAGCTCTGGGTCCCTATTCCCTCCTCCCGCGTTGCAATGGGTGTTTTGAGATGTTGCAACAGATGATTTCGAATGTTGTAATGGGATTTTTTGGTTGTTGCAACAGATGTTTTTGTGATGTTGCAGTACTACTGCTTGAGATGTTGCAATACATAATTTTCGATGTTGCATCACATAATTTTCGATGTTGCAGTACATATTTTTTAAATGTTGCAGTACATATTTTTCAATGTTGCAGCACATATTTTTTCGATGTTGCAGTACATATTTTTAGTTGTTGCAGTAGATATTTTTCAACATTGCAGTGCATGTTTTTCAATGTTGCACTACATATTTTTTCAATGTTGCAGTATTTTACAACCCGATGTTGTACTACATAGTTTTTCCATATGTTTTTGCAATGTTGCAGTTGAAGTGTTATATGCTCTTTTGGACAGGGGCGCGGTGGGGAATGTGGTGTGTTGGGGAACGGGGGACATGAGCGCGTTGGGGGAGCAGAGGAAGAGCGGGTTCTGTTTTCTATTCTGTTTAGTGCGGGTGGGCGATCGTGGTTTCATGCGGGGGCAGGGCGGGGTTCCGTGCGGGACCAGCGGACGGACGCATGCGCGCGCTGGACGTTCGGGCACTAGAATCACCCGCCTATATGCCGCACGCAGGCGGATTGCAGCAGATCAGCTGCGGCACTAGTTTACTCCATTCAGGGCCGAAGATCTTCTTGTTGGGCTGGCGCGTCCTGGTCTTCATGACTTCTTCTGGCCCGTCAGCTTTTCCTCCATCTCCTTTGCCAACCTCTGATACAGAGCTGCTATCACATCCCCATCTTTCCCAATCTCTGATTGCTTCCAGCTTTTCCCATTACAGTTACAGCAAGTGAAACAAATAAAGTCCGTCTTCCTATGCTTCGTTAATGTTACCACTGTATTCTAGTTACGTTCGCGTTTGCATCCAAACACCATAGAAGTCTTTTACTCCCTTGGTCCTACTGCCTTCGCTCTTGTTTGTAAGGCATTTCGTGTATGTCACCGGTCAAACTTTATAAATTTTAATCAATAATTTAACTAACATTTTGTAACTATTATAAAACAATCTTTATACCATTAGATTTGTAATCAAACATACTATCCAACAATAATAAGTTTATAATCATAAATAATATAATATAACATAACTACATGATCAAAGTATAATTTAGAAGACCGTGCCATAATCGGTTTGGAGGGAGTAGTATATAAGAGCAACAGCCGGCTGCTGGCAGTACGAATCCTTGCAGCCTGTCTCTAAGCCCACCTATACAGTAATTACATCTTCTATATTAATACATGGCCCACTTGTCTCTCATAAAGTTTCTTGGTTCTTGTGTCCAAGCCGACTGTAAATCTCTCTCATTTCCTCTCTCTCTTCTTCACTTCAGCATACAACCCAGCTACAACCCTTTACTATACTTGCTTTAAGGCGTAATCATCTCTGGTTTAAAGACCTAGGAACATATTTAATTTCTCTCTCTCTATACTAGTACTACTGTATCGATATACGCATGTCTAGAGAGAGCATGCCTTATATTAGGAGACTTGAATAAAAAGTGCTTACGTCTTATATATTAGGACGAAGGAAGTAGCAAAGTAGAGGA